GTTGAGGTTGTGATATTTGACAAGTGACGTTATTGGCGATCCATTGGATATATATGAAACGTTTAGAATTTAGTAGAACTAGTACGTACATATTTTATTTTGGTGTTATGCATATTTAATTGTGTATTTTGGAGCAATAATGAAAAAATAACATTTATGTACTGCTGGGATTTATAGAAATTGCTGCCGTCGTTGTACAACAGCTGCAATATGTTAAAAAATTGAAAGGTTATTAGCTGCGGGTGTTACATAACCGCAGCAATAAGTGATCTTTAAAAAATTATGAAGCATTATTTGCTGCGGTTCTTGACCGCAGCAAATAGTCAAAAACACATTTTGCTGCTCCTGCAATTGCTGCGGTCGATAACCGCAGCAAATACATAAAAAGAACCGTAGCAAATACACTTTTTTCTAGTAGTGTCATAAGGGGGCTCCACACCATGGATTGATTTGGCTCTGATACCATGTTAAGACCCGGGGTTCCATCCTAAAAGGTCAACCTGTTAGGAGGAGTAGCCCGAAGCTTAATATAGCACTTTAATGCTTCTCAATTTTCCGGTGTGGGACATTTAACACATAGTCATGATTAATTACATTTCAAAAATTAAAAAAAGCAGACTAGTCCTAGCCGCGTATACGATTTGTGTCGCCACCATCGACAATTTCCGTAGCGGCTGGTGTGGGGGTGTTTATCTTTGTCGTTTGGTCGACTAGGCTTAGGTTAGCTTAGTGATTAGCTAGCGTGGTGGTCACGTTGCTCGACTGAAGGCATTGGTTTGGGTCATGTTGTGGATCACCATATTGGGTTGTCTTTGGGGGTTGGTTACGACAGCAAGTTTACGAGTCATGCAGCCAGAATATGCGAGGTTCAAAATGGCCGCGCAACAAGGGTTGGCTGCGAGCTACACACGGTTAGGCCTCGACGATGAAGATGCGGGAATAATCCAGCTAGAAGTGGATGAAGACATGAACCAAGAGGGAGGTCCGACGGACTAGTCACTAGTTGGAACTGTTATTACAGACAAGGCAGTGAAGCTCACACAGTTCAAGGAGGTTTTGGCTTCGATTTGGAGGCATAGCATATGTGTTTCCATTAAGGAAATCGATGATGAAAACAATTTATTCTCTTTCTATCATAGAATATTGGATATGCACCGTGTCAATGAATATGATCCGCGGCTATACAATTAGAATCTTGTAGTGTTGCATGAACTAAAATCTAATTATCCGCTTTTGAAAGTTTCCTTAAATTTTCCACTCGAAGGAACTATTATCGTATACTCAAAAGATTAAAAGTGTCTACTTCGGGTATCAAAAGTGCTTTCACGAAACTATTATCACGGAACACTTTGGCAAAATTATACTCCAAGGATTAAAGGTGTCTTCTTGGAGTATGATATTGCCACAATAAATGGAGGACTAAAAATGTAACTGTTATAATAGTTGAAAGATCAAAATTGTTATTTTTAGAAAAGTCAAAAGACAATATGAGAATTTTCAAAAAAGAATATCAAAAGTGTCTTGCACAATAGTTGAAAGACTAAAAGTTAAAATATTCAAAGTCGAGTATGAAAAGTGTTAATGACATAAAAGTTTGCGGACTAAAAGTGCTGATAACTACTCTTCATATTGTCCTCCATCCAACATACAGTTTCTTTTAATATAATTGGGTAATTTATTATGAAAAATTAAATGTTAAATCCAAGAGTCCTTAGAATTTGACTTGTAAAATAATTTCATACGTAGTATTAAATTTAGAGAATGTATTACATTTCGTTTCATTTTCTGTAAGTTAAACCAAAGATAACACTAATAAATTGTATATACTTCATTACTCCATTACATTCTAGTTTAAGAATATGAGCACCAACCAAAATATTCAGACAATTAATTATGACAAGTCTAGGATTGCCGTGAAACAAGTGCCGAACATAACATTTTTCTTAGGTAGGACAATAAATACAAAAGTGATGGTAATTAAATAACTAATAACCGTAATATACTGAATTGTAATATAGGTACGGAGTACTAAATTGATTAAAATGCTCCTTATTCTACGGTTCCAAATAAATAGAGGAATTCCGTAAAATATTACTCCGTACTATAATTGACCGTTGATAGTTTTTTTGAAAGGACCGTTGATAGTTAGTAATTACTCCCTCCGTCCCCTTTTAAATGAGACGGGAGATGGTGACACGAGTGATGGAGTATATGGCCCAGGAACCCCCGGCCCATAGACTCCTACTTCTCCCACACAAGTCCATTGAGCTCAGGAAACAACTCAGGCCCAAATACAACGGCCCAAGCCTCAAAGTAGCCCAGAATACACACAGGGGTGCCTTCGGCCTCCTTGGCCGAAGGCTCCAAAACTCGCAGGATAGCCCTCTCTGGCATAAGAAGCTGCTGGGAGAAAACGGGCAAAAACATGAGCCTTCGGCATTCTCATGCCCTCGGCACCAGGGGAAGCCTTCGGCTGAACCAAGCCTTCGGCTACACAAGGAGCCCTCGGCTACACAAGGAGCCCTCGGCTACACAAGGAGCCCTCGGCTACACAAGGAGCCTTCGGCTACACAAGGAGCCTTCGGCTGAACAAGCTCAATCATCGAAGATTCCTTTTAGAGACAGCCAACCACCGCATTTAATGCCACGTCACGTCCGCCAACCGCAATCAATGCGGTGGACGTACCATTGCCGGTGCCAACCGGCTGATGTGACCCTTCGGCCGTTGGATTACTGACACGTGTCCTCTCATCGCATTTATTGCAGCTATAAATAGCAGCCCATTTCTCCTTGTAAATGAGGATCGACATCCCAACTCCACATCTCGAGTTCATTTAATAAAATCAACTCTCTCTCCTCCTATTTTGCTCTGACTTCTCTCTAGTTATTTCCGCAATAACCCCTCGGATAAGATACCCCCGGGTAGACTATCCATCAACGAGTTTTAAGAAAAGTGAGTTTGTGTGTTTGATATTAATTGATAAAGTAAGAATAAAGTAAGAATGATTTTGAGCCACACAAAGTTTACCAAATTAGGTATGGGACAATTAAATAGGGACATCCCAATATAGTAAAACGGGACATTTAAAAGGGATGGAGGAAGTACAATTTTACTTGTAAAATAATTGTATTCAAAATTGAAAGAAACAACCACTTTACTTCAAATTTTAAATTGTTGCAATACTGCAAAGTTATCCAGACATGAGATTCTATCCTAAAAGATCAGGATTAATCCAAATCTTAATATAATACTTAATTCTTTCACAAGTTTCTGGTGTGGAAAATTAACACCTCTCCTCACCATTAGACACTTCGTCTGGATCGTGTCGCCACTCTTTTTTCCTCATCGATTCATTATTGTCATTTTTATAATCGTGACATCATTTTTATAAGGGGCTCCCGCACCATGGATCGATTTGGCTCTGATATGATGCTAAGGTCATGCGGTTCCATCAACTTCAACATGATAAGAGAAGTAAGCCAAATATTAATATATCTGTGAATTCTTTCACAAGTTTCCGGCGTGGAAAACTTAACAATAGTATTTTAGTATCATAGGCCGGATTGACGCCGGTTGTGTGCCTACCCATCCATTGCTAATTCGCCACTAACCTTTAAGCAGTAAGTGGTAAATCGTACACCTAAATGCTAATATGAAAGTCTACATTCTAAAAAGTCATACTTCTCTCCATTTCCTTCTAGGAATTTACTGTCTCCATTTCTTTTTCACTCTATCTCTCTCCTTAAAAAAATAATTAAACCCCATCTTTTTTTTTCTCCCTACCCCACCATTTCCCCATCTCACTCTATCTCTCTCCTAATGGAGAACTCCAATAACTGGAGAGGAACTAAATTCCATTCTGAATGCCAAATTGTACAATCCTAGAACATTTTGTGTTAAATTATTATACGTAGTATTTGTGTTGGGTTAACGGCCCAAGCCGAGGTCCGGCCCATTAACCCTTTTTTACCAGACGCACGTCCAGTTAGAACACAAGGCTAGCCGCAGGCCCATGTTCCTTGGGAAGGGACGAACGTCTTATGTTGAGGGTTGTTAAGGCTCAACGGTCCATCGCGACGAACGTCTGTGCAAGGACCAGGGGCAGGACCACGGGCCATCAGGGATGACGACGAACGTCTCCTGAGCAAGCCCATAGTCATCAGAGGAAATCCAGTCCACATGGTGAGAATCCATTAAGGCCAGGAGACGAACAGCCGAAACCTCTTGAGGGTCACTTGGAGCAATCCAGCTCGCCTCCCGGGCGGACGAACGTCCCCACTATTTAGGCGGGAAACCTAGATTCTGGCGGGAAGTGCATTTAATGCTGAAGATTTGGTGGTTGAGACACCAGCGGTCCACAGGCCTCCACGTCAGCATAGCCACCTGCCCATTGGTGGGTATAAATAGAAGCATTTATTTCATTGTAAGGGGTTGGCAACTTTCTATTCTTAGCACTCTAGCTATAGTATTCTTACTCGCAGCACTTCTACTGCTTTGTAAGACGAACGGCCGACGGAGCCTTAGCGAAAAGTATTGTATTAGGGAGTTATTGAGAGATAATAATACCTAATCAATTACTTGCTACTTCTTGTTCTCTTTAATCCATATCATCTGCTTGTTGGGCTAGTTTTCTCACACACACTCCACTCGAGATCCTTGGGCTTACGTGTTGGACCCGAGGGTTGAAGGAATAAACCTCAACAATTTGGTAAACTGGAAATCAAGGAATCAAACCTAGACATTCTTATTTTTAGAATAATGTTAAGTTTTAGTCAGCAATCTTTTATTTTAGTCATCACTAGGTAGTCATTTTAGTAAATCAGCACTGAGTGTAACATAATTATTCCCTACTTTGGGTCAAAGTGCTTTTATATTAATCATTGTGTTAATTAATCTGCTTCGGTAATCTGTGTCATCGAATGCTGATTCCCAGATCTAGACATCGCACTAATGCACAACTATTTCCTAATAATACATCTTCAAATAGTTGGAGATCAACTAGAATCACAATTTAGCTTTATATATAATATACTTGGAGAAAAAGGAATTAGGGAGTATATTGTTTTTTTTTGTTATAACAAGATATTATGATCGTAATAATAAAAAAGATATTATGATCTTACAGTATATAATACAATATATATATGTTGAAAAATTACATATAGAAAAATGAGATTGATTGTGGATATAAATCAAACACTAAAGACAAAAAAGTAATCAAATACATTCATTCACAAAAAGAAATGAAATCCATTATTAATGTGATTAATCAAGCTAATTAGAAGACCAGTTGAGCGTCTCAAAGCAGCTGACCGGATTAACAGCCTCTCCTCCCGGCGGCGGATCAAGAAAGTGCCCGGAGAAATCATCGGTCGGCAACCACCACTGCGGAAACCCCCACCCGTCCGAAAACTCGAAAACACCCAATTGCCCCTTGGACTGGGGCGAGTCAAAACTCACCCCGTCCAGGCTGGGCAGCTCGATGATCTCGCCGAGATCATCGGACGCTGCCGCTGATGAGGACGAGCACAACGGCTGAAGCTCGTCCATGGCGGCGGCCTTAGCGGCCGCCGCTTGGACGTCGCTTGGCGAGGCGGATTCCGGGCGGGGGAGGGAGTCGACGAGATGGGGGAAGTTGAGGATGGCGGAGTCGCCCTTAATCGCCAGCGCCGCCACGTCGTGAGCCCGGGCAGCCATTTCCGGCGTCGGGTAAGTCCCGAGCCAAATTCGGGCCTTCTTCCGCGGCTGGCGAATCTCCGACACCCATTTCCCCCAGCTTCGCATCCGCACGCCTCTGTACACGGGATGCTTGTTCCCGCTCCTTCCCTTCATTTTCTTCTCTTTCTTCCCGAAATCGTCGGAGAGAGCTGAATCAGAAGAAGAAGAAGACGGCCCAGATTTTTTATTGGAAGAACCAGCAATTGCAGAAGAAGAGGAAGAAGAAGACAGAGTGTGAATACCCCTTCCAGCTTTTGCCATCAAATAATGGGGCGAAGCGGTGATCTCAATTCCTCTGATCAGATGAGTGAATGATTCAGTGCTATATATATAAATATGAATCTCAAAATATACGCAGTAGTACGTATATATACAGCGATATCTATATATACACACATAATAATTGGAGGTAAAAGAAATGGTAAGAAAGAGACAAAGTGGGAAAATACAGAGTTGAAGTTGACATATAACATGTCTGGTGAATCAAGCGAGGCCCTGCATCTTCAATATCTTCATTTGTTATCTTCTATGCATAATATAAAAAAATTATTCATGTTTTATGATCTGTATTTAGAGTATATACTTTATCACATTCAGCCAATTTAATCGGTATCACCTAGAGTAGTCGATTCAGTCAATTTTTAGGCTTCAAATAAGTTCTAAGATAGACAATTATATAGATATAATATACACAAAAGTTTCTATCCAGCCGGAGAGACAGGATCCTCCGTCCGGACGCCGCCGTTTGGGGCAGTTCAGGGTGATTTTTTTTTATGAAATCTTTTAGGCAGTTCCTCATCAAGTCTAGTTCATGCACAAAAACTTTCAGCTACAAATTCATTCAGAAAGACAGTCAAATATATTTTTGAAGAGAACTGCGTTTTATATGTATATTTTGGCGCAGTTATCTTCAAAAAATATTTAACTGTCTTTTCGATGAGAATTTTCAGCTGAACTTTTTTGTGAATAAACTAGACTTGATGAAAAACATGTTCAAAACATTAAATCAAAAAATTCTGCCGATAACTGCCCCAAATGACGGTGACCGGATGGAAGGTCTTGTCCCTCAGGCCGAAGAGGATCATTCCTCTAGACATATGTATATAGCTATTTTAGCCGACCTTTAGTTGACTAATGACTATGTCTCTCCGTCTCCACACCATCAAATTGATAAATGGGAATTGTCCAACAGAATCATGCAATCACGACTTGGGTTCAAATTAGCAATGAGGTAAAATGGGAAAACTTTCTCAAATGATGATCTTTTGCCCCAAGATTGATTTAAGTGGTTGAGTAATGAGTGTTTCGTCTCGCCTCAATAGATAGTGCGAGAGCTAGTTTCTTATTAGGATCTTGACGGTGTTTGGCCAAGTAGTAGCAGTTCTCTCAAGAGTTATGATAGGAACACGAGGATATGCAAAATCAATCAATTAAGAACAGATTCATATGTTCATTGAGTATAGACAAGCATTGGAAACCAAATGTATTATTCGAGCCATTCAAATTTTATTCTATTAAAAATTTGAAATGAGTTTCTCGGATGATAAAATTAATTGTACGAGATTTTATCTAAAGTATTATTAATAAAAATTTATTGACAAAAATATGATTATAAGTTTTTATCGTAAGTTTGATAGTCACTAACATTTGTTGATCGTTTGATAGTCACTAACATGAAACATTTAAATATAGTTAGACTTATAATCATTAAAGTTAACAAATTACATTTTTGTTCAATATTTTTATTTTGATTGTACATACGAAATTATTTCAAAATTAATTCGACAAGTTCGAGGTTGGCTACTGCTAAAGAAAATACAACTGTCAGCGAAAGTCCCAAAAGAGATTTGATCGTGTGAACACTGGTCGAAAGATTCCTAATACATTTCTCTCACAATTGACCACGAGTCATATTTTGACTATGGTTGTATGTGCATTTGAACTCACTTTTGTGCTTAAATAAATAAATTTAGACAATTATTTATGTGTAGCATTGTTTAAATAAAGTGTTGAACACGACTGAATAAAAAGTAAATCATCATATTTGAACGTTGCTAACTTTTGCAGTTTAGACTTATAATTTTCCAAAATTTATGTGTGTTAACGTTAATTCGTTTGGATTCAAATCCAATACAGCCCTTTGAATATCGTTAAAATGCTTCTCAAGAAAAGGAAACCAGAAACGGAAATCTACTAGCGCAATGATTCAATAGCCCAATTGTATTAACGTAATTAAGCTGATTACAGAGAAATGGCCGAACGGGAGCTACAGTCCAGTTGCTAATACAAGAGCTAGAATGAGGTTATATTGCTAGGGAGTATCAAAATGCTAATCTTATACAATGGAATAAATGCTACTCTCTTCGTCCCATCTTATATTAAAGTGAGATTTGAGTTTTACAAATTTTACACAGCTAAAGACAAAAATATTCATCTTGAAGTATGTTTCCATAACTTTTATACCGTTTCGATAACTTTTCTAGTATGTTTCCATTCATGCTTTATCTTCAAGTATCATTCATTTCAACATTTGATCAAACGAGATTTGTTTATTTATTTGTAAAAATCCGTAAAACAAAACAATAACAAATTGAACCAATCCAAATTGTGATTGTAGATTTTAAAAGATACAACCAAGGGATATATAACCGAATAAAATCAAAGTGAACTTTGGGGTGAAGTTGTCAACCAAGGGATTCGAATAAAAACTGCCCGGATAAATGCAGGGGGCAGACATGAAACCCAACGGCCTTAGGGGTAGAATGTTATTTCTCTCATTCATATATGCATGCTTTGAGCTATGCAATTCGATCCATTCTGAACGAAGATCCCAAAAAAGCAGCATAAGAAGAGAAACAAATGTGGAAAAAGCAATGGAGTTCTGCAACTTGCCTGAGAGATCAATGCTTACGAACTTTATCTATCATTTAATTCCTTCATTGTCCAACTTTCCTACCGCTTTACTAGTTGAGTTATTCGTGCGGGTTCAAAACATCTATCTTATAAATTCAATTCTTATTCACTGCGATGCTGATACATTGAGGCGATAAGAATACCAAATTTTGATAATGTTCATATTGCAATTTTCTTTGAATCCAATACTACATGTCCAACCTTGGATCACTCTCTATTGGAATTTCCGACCCTGGATCATGAGTTCATACGACTTTCCACGTTCACACACAATCACATTTCCACTTTGTAAGATACATTTTTCTTTTTGTTTAGTCCCAAAAATATAAACAGTTTTCAACCAAGCATTCCAGTCCAGGCGTCCAGCTGGTTGTAAGGTTACCTTGCCTAGTGGGAGGTCTCGTGTTCGAATCCCGCTAGGCACATAAGGGTTGGAAACTCAATGGAGTGAGTTTGAGCCCTGATTACTCCAGGCTCCCCCTAGCCCCCTCCCCCACAACCCTTGGAGTAAAAAAAAACAGTTTTCTAAATTGAAAACTCCACTATTTTTTTTGCTATCTCAATTTGCCATTTATCTAACAATTCACCCTTTACTTTTTGGGAAAAATACTATAATAATACTAAAAGAGGGAGGAATTCTATAATATGACTAGAAAACAAGATTTACGGGATCGGAATAAGAGTAATAACCAACGAACATACACGAGTAGGATTTAGGATAACTCCTATTTTGTAGGCTTAGAAATTAATATGTGTCTGAGAGGAAGGCCAAAACACCAACAACAAATCAGGGAAAAAAACTACTAGATCATACATTGATGAATACTACGTACATGATCTTTTAGTCATATGAATAATAATTTTCTCTTACTTTTTTAGACTCAGCTTTTATGGTGTTTGTAATTGATTCTGCTTCTACTTCTTTTTTAAAATCAGAAATAAAATCAGAATCAGTTTTTCAAAAGCAAGTCTCACTCAACGTTTTCGTCTTAAAAACTACTTTTAGGACTAATTTTGAGCATTAATAAGAAGTACTTCTGTAATTCCACCCAAATACTTTAATTTAGTATTTGATTTTGCTACATGAAGGAACAAAAATAGTTTTAAAAAGTAGATCCAAACACACCCTTGTTATTTCTTAATTTTGGAGGTTAGAGTTGTAGAACAACAACTATAGTACTAAACCCTAAACTATTTTGTATTTAGAGAAAATTATAGTGTGAAGTGCAAATAAGTCCCCCATCATCTCTTACATGTTATTCCTAATTTAGTTGATCGTATCGCTTAACTTCTTAAGTAAGCGAATAATAGCTTTTTATTTCGAACTTTGAATTGAATTGTGTAGTATGGAGTAATAAATAATAACAGTAATAAAAGGATTAAATTGTGCTGAAATTGATGATGAAATTACGATTGATGCAACTGAATTGGTTAAATATGCTAAATTCAAAAAGTATGTATGAATTTTTGTAATGGATTAATGAAATATCAATACGAAAAGTAGTTAAAATAGTCCACGTTAACAAATTCGTCCAATTCAATTAGAAAATAAATTTAATCCTTTTATTACTGTTAATTATTAGTCCATACTACACAATTCAATTCAAAGTTCGAAATAAAAAGCTATTATTCGCTTAGTTAAGAAGTTAGGCGATACGATCAACTAAATTAGGAATAACATGTAAGAGATGATGAGGGACTTATTTCCACTTCACACTATAATTTTCGCTAAATACAAAATAGTGATTGTGATTGGAGATCTTTATTCATACTTGAAATTTCGAAAATAATCTCAAATATCTATATAAAAAAAATAGATATACACTTTTTTACTTTTAAGCCTTTTAAAAAATAATTTAAAATACACATGCAGTACCAATTCAAATTAGACTCAAATAACAGTAAAATAGACCCAAATACTAACTAAAACAACAAGTTTAAGTTTCAAAGTTTCAACGCATACAATGCTGTTTAATGTAAGTGAGGTGTATAATTTGGAAACTTTTAAATATATGTCCAGAACCCTATTCTTTATACTCCGTACTAGTATAGTACCCGTGCATACGCACGGGGAATAGCAGTCAATGCATATGTTTTTACTCATTATCTAATTAAATATTATAATAAAATTAACTTTTATTATTTAAAAGTTATTTCCGAAAAATAAAAGTGCGATAAGCTAATATCATAAGTATAAATGATACAAAAAATATTGAATGAAGAGTATATTAGGAATAGTTAATTGACAACACTCATCAGAATTTGTTGCCTATTAATTTTAATGATTAAATTAGTTTTAAAATTTAATACTATTCTTAAAAAGTGAGTATCATAAGTGAATGACATAAAATTCAAGTAAATACAATAAATATTAAAATTAAC